CAGTAAAAAAAGTGGGAATGAGACTAGAAATACTGTTTATGTCTTATGTGAAGATTATTAAACAAAGCTAAAAGAGAGTGTTCACAACATTGTATGCCATTGGGTAACTGAGTTTCTTTGAATAACAAATGGCTCCTGTAGAGGGAGGTCTATGCAAAGTCTAGCTTCTTTATCAACATGTTGCAACCAACTCTCATTTAGTTTGTTACAGAACATCTGCAGGACATTTTTTAACCATACAAATAATCAAGTGTTCTAAATTATGGAATATATGATTCTTTGGAGTTTATTATTCATATATTTTCTCCAAGGTAGGAAAAATATTTATTCTTTATAATATGAAGACAAGTCTGATTCACAACAAGCAAACTTTCTCTTTTTGTTTGTTTTTTGTTTTTTTGTTTGTTTTTTGATATTTACAGGAGTTTGGAGTGAGATCAAACTGGAGCAGTCTGCCTCTGAGGTGAAGAGACCTGGAGAGAGAGTGAAGATGTTATGTACCCTTTCTGGTTATAGACTGACAAGCTGCAATATATTTTGGATACGGCAGAGGCCGGGCAGAGCTCTGGAGTGGATTGGGTATATGAGCACTGGAAATAATTCTCCTGGCTATGCCAGTTCTTTTCAAAGTCGTTTCATCATCACTGAAGAAGACTCCAGCAGCAGACAGTATCTTGAGATCACAAGTCTGACAGCTGAAGATTCGGCCGTTTACTTCTGTGCCCGAGAAAGCACAGTGACGGAAAACAGAAGAACAGCTGTACAAAAACACTTAAATAGCCATGTGACTTAGATGACTTTGAAGTTTCCCTTCATATGCAGTAAATAAATAAATAAAATAATAAATTAACAAATTGAAAAAAAACCCTCTCTACATATATCCTTTTACTGTAAGAAAATGAGATTGTATTAATTATGCAATTAATACTAAATTCACAGGGTAAAAGGGACAGTTAAATTTAAGCAATAGCCTGAAAAAAGACAGGATAATTTTGAGAAGTAAAATGATTAACTGATGTATTATTGGAAGGTGTGTGGATGATCCTCTCTGTTCGATTAAGATGTATTCCTTATTTTATTTGCCTATATTTTCTATTTTTGCATCTGTTAACGGGACCCAAATACTTTTGTAGACTGATATAAATCATTAATTAACTAACAGTAACCTGTTAAATGTGTAACTTATATAAAGCAGAAAATGCCAGCCCAGTTATCCCAGAGAAACGTGAACACTAACCTGTTCAGTTTCTGGATTGTTGTTTAATTGTTGTTTCATTGATTTCATTGATGTGTTGTATATGAATGAGTTATAAAATCAAAATATCATATGTACATGTTCCACTCAGCCTCAATGATTGGCGCCAATTAAAAACAATGATTTTTCATATGTTTGACTTTGTGCAAACGCACTGGCCTCTGTTATTATACAGCTTATAAAATCTGTGGAGTTCACAGCACGTACGAAAACCAT